TTCCTGCTAGTAAGGAGTTAGAAAAAAGTAGAGGTGGAGGTAGTTAAGTTCTCCCTGTACAGTGTTTTGTTTTAGCATTTTGATGCTCCTTATATAACGCTAAAGTCAAGAAGGTAAAACCATTTCTGAATGTTACAGAAATATAGCTATTAATTGTAAAGGACTTCTTTCCCACTACGTACTCTTATTTTGGAGGCAGCAAGAATAAGCAGGAGAAGCACAGACAATATAAAATTTCATTCTCCTATTGTCTAGATTGCTTTTGTCAATGTTAACAAAGGATAGTCACTGATAAATCAGTGTGTCTTTTGAAATATTTTCTTTGTATTTGATTCCTCTTCCCTCCAACAGTGATCTGCATTGAAGTTCCATTCTAAAAATACACATATTTTCTGAAAGCTGATAGATAACATATGGCTGAACGTTCAGGACTAGTATGTATCCACAAAACCTCTTTGATCAACATTTGTAAAACTGAATGTTCAGGGCATCTGTGCTCATAGATTTTGACCCGATATTGCAAATGTTTTGACCTGTGAAATAAATGGCAAAAATCTGTTGCTTTAAAATAATCCACAAGACAGATAGGGGCTAACTACCAAAACTGAAATTATTTCTAAGTCTTGGAGGGGTTTTTTTGGTCACTGAAAATGGGAAATCAAATCTGCTGCATGGTTTGTGGATACATATGGAGCTAGGTGATCTTGGAAGCATTCTACATTAACATTCAAATCAAATACTAGCTTTGGTCCTAGGGTTTTAGGGTTGCTAAACCTAAACTTTATTGCATGCCTTCCACTACTTGGGAGGCTTCTGTGATGTTTATGATGTTTCCTGTAACTTACAGTTCTTAGATAATTTATTGGCCAGAGATATAATGTGGAAGCACCGTATAGTGAGTGATTATAACATCACAATTTCATTCCTTAGCAAGGGCATATGAGAGTGAAGAGAAAGTTTCTGTACAAGTTTATGTTTCCGTCTCTCTGTGCCAGTTGACTGACATGACCTTATATCAAGGAGGTAGATCAACGTGCCCGATCACATGCCTGCACTACCAGAGTTCCATTACAAAAAATGTGCTTAGGGTCTTGGAGTTTTTGTTTACCAAATGATGACTAGTGCCAGTCTTCAGAAAAATTAACAATAAAAAACGAGCCTCAAAACTAACAATGAACATGCTGATGACTGCTATGTAGGATATGCTTTCAGAATGCCACTTAAAAGCAAAAAATTCCTATTTGAAACATTTCTTACATTTAGAACCTATTCCATTACTTGACGGAAGTTAAATCGAATGGTGTCGTAAAAATTCCTGAAGTGAGAGGTGATGAAGCCTGGAAGGTGTACTTTGATGATGCTGCACAAGAAATTGTAGATGAATTTGCAATGCGCTATGGAATTGAATATATTTATCAAGCTATGACGTAAGTAGTATCATGTCTGGTTTTCTACTGTCAAGAACGTGTTTGAGGGAAGTGAGGAGTTCCAAGCCTTCATGCTTTCATTCTCCATTTCACTCTCCAGTTCCTGATCCAAAATTCTTATCATTTTTGTCTATCTGATTCTGTACCTTTTTGATCAAATTTCCTTGCTGTGGATGATTGCAAACGAGGCATGTGAAAGCAGGTGTAATAAGAAAGTGAATTCAATATGGGTGGTCATAGGAAATAAAAGCTAAGATTTCATTGCCCTCATATCCATGTCCATTTACATATTAAAATGTTGTATAAGGAGCAACCCCTGTTTGAGGGATTGGCCACAAACTGTGTAAGGCCACATCCCATTTAAGTTAGGAATAAAATCAAAAATGAATGCAATCTCGAATGCTACTTGGAGAAGAATATATATTCATATACATTGATTTGCTGATTCATCTGCAGACATGTCTGTAGGAGCATTCAGACTTTGGAGAGAAGAGCAGTGAAGGCACTAGATCTGTCATGGGAAACTTTCCTTTGGACTGTAATCTGTTGTTTTTACTTGTGAGATCACCTTTTTCTCCTGGAACTTTAATGTCTGGGAGAAAATGTACAGCTTCTTCATTTGGAAAACAGAATGATCAGATTCTATTTGATAACAATGTGCTCCTACTAAAAGAAAAGCAATTTTCTACCATACAACAGAGACTTTGAATGTAATCACTTGGCCCCAAGGAATATTGTGTAAGCATTTTATGCTTGAGAATCTGGTTTCAGAATATTTATATTGCGCGTCTCATGATAACATTGTAAATTAAATGTTTGCATTTGTAAATGCAAAACTGACTATGCTTTAATAGCCCATGATCCAGACCCCAGAGAGCATCCTCCACATGCTGCTTATGCACAGTGTCAGGCTCAAGTGAGTTTTAGGGTGTTGATAATGAGGTGCTCTTTTTGTCTGAATGTAATTTTTAAATTTCATATTTGTTTGCTGGTTTAAAATTACCTGTTATATAAAGTCTCAGTGCCACTTAATAATAGTCAGTCTTGACCCCTTCAGGTATGGGTAGGTACAATGTGCTGGGGTAGGAACATATGCCATTCTGCATTTCTGAACACAATGTAAATCTAATTAAGCCTCCCTAAAGTACTACTTTCTAGAACAATTTGGCATCATGTTCTGCTACAGTAATAAACCATCCCACTTGTCTATCATGTCAGGTTCATGCTGGTGGCTTTGTCATCTATGATCCTCTTTGTCACCTTATGATCCTCCCTGATGACTTGTTTCTTGCTCTCAGTTTAATATTTATTTGTATTGATTCCTTTAGAGCACAGAAATAATCTTTCAGAAACATAGACTTGATTTTCCAAATACACTAAGCCTACTCATCAGCCACAGCTGTGGCAGCTCAGCAAAGATAAAAAAGAATTTAGATCAGTTTATTTTTTAGTGCCTGACTGCTTCACAGAAAATCAGTCCAATAGGTGACCAACTAAAACATAAAGTTCAAACTCTATTCCTCTGTCAAACACCATCAGCAAAGAAATTCTGCATTTTCTGCGATTTAGAATATCACATATGAGTCAGTGTTTCATTCTAGATCAAGAGACAATTACCTGTGCACTACCAAAGACTTACTGGAATGCGGATATCAACCCAAAAGATATCACATAGGTGGTTACTTATCTGTCACTGTCCCAAGGAGACCTTCTCCATTAAACTTATAAAGGGAATGAATTCAGGTGTGACTGTACCTGCTGTTGGAGACAGAGACGGTTTTTCCCTAAAAGATGCCTGGAAGGAGTGTCTTACTCTCAAGATACGGATTCCAACTGCAAGGAGATCTGCTTTTAAGTTACCAGATTTGGAATTCACATGAACAGAAAATCAACTATTGACCCAAAGCCAAAATACAGCATAAAGCCTGCTTGTGTTGCAGTAACTGCAGCTCTTTGAAAACTCTTGACTGTATAGATTCCATAATTCACTCTTCTTTCTTATAATCATTATTTTTCTCCACTCCCCTGGAGTCTGTACAGGGCAAAGAAATGAAAGTCAGTTACAGCCATTCTTCTATGGGTCAGAACATAATTTTTTTTTATTGTGATGGATAGCAGCCAAATAGACGCTATTGGCTACACGAATGATAGGTGTATACTTAGGGAAAGCAAAGCGTGTTATGTGTGAGAATAGGAAAGAAAATAGATATGACAGAAAACAAATTAACAAAAGCAGAACAGCTTAGTGATCTAGCTGGTCTTTATTTTGATGACTGCAGTGATGGATGGTCATTTATGCTGTAAATTCAATGTCTTGAAGGAAAGGTACTAAAAGTTTATTTACCTACATGCATTAAGCCATATCAACACCACCAAGAAAAAATAATTTTCTTCCTCTCGTTCACCTTTCAACATAATTTCTCTTTAGAAGACAAAAAGCAGAGCACATATTGAAACATTGTTTGACTAGACACTAGAATTATACATAACGTCAGCATCCTGGATTTATTTGTGTAGTGGAGTCAAGTGCAATAAAAGCTCTATTAAGGTCTTCACTTCTGACTGACACCACAGGTAGAACCTAATGCTTCTAAATCAGCGACATAGTTCTTGCTCCAGCAGGTTAATGGACATTAACTATGTGATCTTGTTCTCCTGCTAGTCTTCAATTAATGCAGCAGCGTTGCAAAAAGCACACAAATCACCCATTAAAGTGATTTTCATTGATAGTATTTGCTTACTGGGTACAGCCCGTTAATTAGCCTTTCTTTGCCAATTCACGCTAGCAAAAGATTGGGAGAATTGCAGGCATTGTGTGTTGGTCAGGAAATTGCATAGTAAGAAAACTGAAGAAAGCGGGCCTGGTTTTAGACACGTGACTCGAGCTTACAGAATGCAGTATTAGTCTAAAATATGTGAGACTCAGCAATGATTGCTGTGACATCTTGTGTCCATTAGAAACTTAATAACTCAAGCTGTTGCCTGCTGTTTTCAGAGACCTACAAAAGCAAGGAAGGAAGTTTCCTCTTCAATTTATCTATTTTAGCAAGCAGAAGGAAGCTACATAGCTTGTAGCTTTCTCAACTGGCTTAGCACTCTGAGTCATGAGCCATATTGCACGTGATAAATTTAGTAGGTTCTGTGAATGTTACGATTTTAATGAAATGAAGGAGAAAAGTAAAAACTGACATAAACTGTCACTTGACAGTTTGGATTTGGCTGGTTCAGGTTTAACAGAGTGATTACCTATACTTTACTGGCCTAAAGTGGAACAGTTTCCATTATGGCCTAAATTAATTCAATTAAATTAATAAATTAAGTCAAGCTGACCCAGAAGTTGCTTGATACCTCACCTTTCATTAATAATGTAGCCAAAAATATAAGCATGGTTTGGATGGTTTTGTTGGCATCAGGTAAATCCTTCTCCACTAGAGTAAAGATCTCTTGTGGCTCTTAAGGGTAAGAAGTTCATGTTTGATTTTAAGTTTGTGTTTAATAATGAATGTTTTGATAATAATAGCAATTAAGATAGTTAAATCATCGGTTATCTAATTACTAAGAAGCAAATGTGAATCTGATGTCTTCAATTTGAAAATATTCATGTGCAACAAGTTGGCAATTATGTCAAACGTGCCTGGATTTTCCTCACATGCATCTGCAGAACTGCCCATGATGTAGCTTGAAAGTTACATCGTTGGAGTGGAAAAGAAGCTGTGGTGAGAGAAAGTGCAGAATCTTTGCCATCTTTAATAACTCTCTGTTTGTTTGAATCGTAGGCACTTTTCCTGTCTATCTTCTAAATATATGTGCCCTGGTGTTCCAGCTGTTATGAGTACACTGTTGGCCAATATAAATGCTTTCTACGCTCATACTACAGCAGCAACGAATGTGTCTGCCTCAGATCGGTTTGCTGCTACTAACTTTGGGGTAAGCAGACTTTTTTTTTAATACAATATTAGTCCTCATCTTTATTTTTCTAATATATGATGCCATATTCACTTGTAAATTCAAAAATTTTTAAGAAGCTTGTCATTTTAAAGAGTAAGAGTTGTTGTTAGCTATTGAAAATTTTACCCTGAATCTTTATAATCAATCACTCTAAAAGCTAGAGAAGATACTGTTCAGTTCCTTAAACAGTGATATGTAAGGCATATAGGGGCAGAAGCACTGGCACACATGTGTAATGCTAAAATCTTCAACAATCAGTTTTTGTTTCTATCGCCGTGGGGCTCGCAAACTAGGAACTGCAGTAGACTCAGTATCAGTTGCAGTTGCTTTCTTGGGCTGTCTCATCAGTGAACTCACATTAATGGATCTACCCATGAACACTGTTCTTCTCATAAGAGCGTATCATGATGGACTCGTTTTTGCTGAAAAACTGGTGCATTGTCCAAGTCCTGGATTTAGATATCAGAAATTTTAGGAGAAATACCAGCACTTTAGGATGTGGTAATACTTTTTTTGTTGTTGCTAACTTTCCTTCTGTGGATAAGTGTCTCACAGTGCGGAGTTCTTGGTCTTTGACCATGCTAAAAAATAAAGTTAACATTCACTCTGTATTCTGATGTGTTTACCTGTCTTTGCTGGGTTGGTGAGAACAAGAAGGGAGAACAATAATTCAAACAGGTTGCTTTCGTATCTGGACCATTACACATGATATAGTCATAGATAGAGTATGAATAAAATTTGATGCTGAAAAATGCATCTATTCTTTCCTCTTTTTTTTTGTGTGGCTGTTATCAAAGCTGTTTTTTGTTTAACAGTAGCTATGAAAACAAGATCATATATATGCTTCATTACTATAAAGTGAAAAAGTTTTACAGATGAAAAGCCCTATCAGAATATTTATGATTTAATTATAGTATTATCATGACAGCACAATATTGCTCTGTTCTTATTCAGGTTTTCTTTTATAAGCTAATAGATGGTTTATTATTGAATGACACTACATCTTTGTTGAAGCAAGGCTACTCTTTCAATGTTCAAGCTTTATTAGACTTTTGAGCTTGATCTGGCTTTTGAAATTTAGAATGTTTTTGCTGGATTTTCTGTTCTTTTTTTTTTTCCCCTATTTTTCTAACGATCAGAACTACTTTTATCCTCAGATTGGATGGAGATTAAGTCCTCTCTCTGATGTTAATGCCAGTTTACCTTTGACGCAAATTTCAATCCAATTCATAGTTCAACAGATGGATGGAAAAACAGTAGTAAGCATCATTAATAGACATTTAGAGCTTTTTTTCAAACAATTGACTTATAGGCAAAATATCAGATTATTTTTCTCTCTTGGGTCAAAAGGCATTTGTTAGTGGATAGCTGCACATCATTCATCAAAAAGAACATCTCAAATTCACGTCCTCAGGCTACAGCTGGGAAGGATTTGGCTGACTGAATATTTCAGGAGATTTATAACATGACAGAACAGTTTCCTTTTGATTGATCCCTTAAGGGAGCTGTGCCAAATTAGTGGCTTTTGGTGTAGGTTAGTGCTCCACTGATGAGAGACTGCGCGAAGAACTCTATTTTCATATTAGTGCTGATCATATTTCAGGGATGGTGTGTGGATAGTCATACATTCTCAGAGCTATCAGGTCTTGCTAATTCCACAAGCCTGCTGCTTTCACATAAACAAGCAAGGATTTCAGCAGTTTTGTGCAGTGGACTATGGAATATGATCTAACATGAAGATTGGTAATTAGAAACTCTCATTAGTATTACTCAAGAATGGCACAACTCAGCTGGGTATCTGACGGCAAAGTATTTTCATTGCACCTTCATCTATCAAGTTAACAAGTTAATGTCCACATTTGAAAAGCTGTGACTGCACAGTATTACTTAGCTTATTCTTACAAAAGCCACTGTTTCTGAGGTATAATTTTCAATCATACTTTTACACTAAATTCTGCTGTAAATGGCCATCTTGTCTTACACATTAAAGAGAGAGGGAAGTACTTTCTTCAAGTGTGTAAGCAATTACAAGGCAAATGTAAAAATTTAACAATCTTGTCTGTTTTAATAGGCCTTACTAACATAAATAAAAACTTTGGACTTCATACTGAATTGATGTTATTGCAGTTTTGGTCAGCAACATCAGTCAATACTTTTCAATTTCTAGGCATTTTGAGACATTTAACAATGCATGAGTCATTAAGAAAGGAAAATGCTGCATTGGAAAGTCTGTATCACCTCCCTAATTTATTGCATAGCTGCACAGTGTGAATGCAAACCAGGTAAATCTCAGTATAGGATAGAAAGTGAAAATAAAGAGATAAAAGATACATTGCCTGACCTTGAAAAGAAGATAGACCAGCATTTTTATATGAGACAATGGAAAATAATATATTTTTTATATAAGTTAAGAATTTGAAACCGCATTCTCAAAACACACCGATTACAGAAACCTGCAAATTCTTACGCAACATGTTCTTATTTTCTTTTTACAGAGGGAAAAGTTCATAAAGCTGCTGGATCAATTACACAATTCTCTGAGGATTGATTTATCTAAATACAGGGTATGTGCAACAAAATCTATCCAGATGACAATTCAAATGGGGGATGGGGGGGGCAGAGAGGGAGGTAGCTGGTGGTGTTTGTGTGAATATGGGCTTTATCTGCTTAAAGAAGTTTTAGAGAATAAAATATGGGGTGTTGACATGAGATCCCAAACGTATCCCTTTCAGGTAAAAACTTACAGAATTTAAGCAGTTTAACAACAATATTTTTTCATTTTGAAAGAAGTTATTATTTCCTTTCCAAAAGCTATAAATGGGTCAAGGGATGAGCAGGCACTCAAGAAAGAGCAGGATTCAACAACTTTGATTAAATTAATCCATAACTTGATTAAGTTAATTCATTGGGGAATTACGTTCACTGACTCATGGAGTGCAAGTTGCAGTTACTGCTGTATTTATTCTGAGACTGACATATCTGCTACAGTTTCCATGCTAACATCCTAGGAATGTTGAAAGATACTTGACTCCTCATTTTTCTATGTGGTAGAAATTCCAGTTTCAGTTCTACCTCATGGAAGCTCTTTCCACAGAGTATGCTCCAAACCCAGTTGTTCAGGAAAGAAGTATACACTGAATACCTGACAGTTATCATACTGTTCTGAACTCCCTCTATTTTCCATTCCACTGGATACTAAAACTTTTGAATAATACATAAACAATGAGGGTTCTATCAGCTATGGCTCTCCTTTCAGCTTCCAGGAATCGCAGCCTCAAACTCAAGGATTTCTCTATTCATCTGTCCTGCTTTCTAAAAATGAAGGAGAAAGGCAGTATTTAAAAGAACCCCAAGGCATTAGAGGTTATAGAAGTTGCACATACTCAGTTTTTAGGACAATATCTTTTGTGCAGCAGATGTGTTCACGCTGGGATCTTTTAATTTTGAAGAATGTTATCCAGTTAATATTGGAGCATGAGGATATTTGACCGATGTTTCATTAGCATGAAGGCATTTAAATAACACTATTTCCCATCAATCCTCCTGTTGACTTAGGGATCATAGCAAAAATTTCATGTATCGTTTCTTCATTGAGCTTGCTACAGCATTTATGCCTACGAGTGATTTATGTAACATGGAGAACCCATAAATGACTGTCATTAGCAAAACTTTCCAGACTTTCACAATATTTTGAAAGGAAAGGAAATATCGCAATATTTTAAATCATTCATATTACAAATACAGGACCATTATCAGAGGTGTTCCTATTCATGTGAAAGTGATACTCGTTGGTAACTTTCCCAGAGGCAGAATTCAGGTAACACATGAATGTTTCTAATCCTTCCAAGCAGCATCTTTGTTTTCCTAGAGAGTCTTTTCCTAGCTGTTCGAAGATCTTACCTGTAACTGCAGTTTCACATGATTCCTCTCTTCCTGATTCACCAGGATAATTTTCCTGCCAGCAATTCTGAAAGACTCCAAGATCTGAAATCAACTGTGGACCTGCTTACCAGCATTACTTTTTTTAGAATGAAGGTATTGTCCTGTATTTGCACAATGTCTCCAAAAAAAAAAGCTGTTGCCTTATATTTTCCAGGAAAATGATATTCTAGCATTAACAATGTCGTAAAAACTATTATCTTTGAAAAATAAACAACTGTCTTTTCCTTTTTTTAAGAATTATTTTTACATCTCCTGAAGGAAATAAAAGAATTCTCTTTTTAATGAGTTTAAAGTTAAGTCACATGAAGCAAACTCAGTTGAACTCTTTAGTAACCGGTGTCTCATAGAATAATGTTTTCCTGATAGTATCATAATATCCCATGTCAAACAGCAAAAATAGGTCTGATAACTCTACTTGCCTTAGTGACACCAGATATCAGCACTCCAGATGTTGATATCTGGTCGTCTAGTCTAAATGTCTAGAATGGAATGGTACACACTGATATTGCTGGATGAAAATATGGAAACAGAAAACAATGTTTGTTGCAGAAGCATGTGATTTCTCTGCATTTGGCACTACATTCAGTGAATTAAAATAATCCATTAGGTTGAAGTTCAAATTAATGTATAATAAAGTGTAATAAAAAGCTGAACCATTTGCTTTACAACATGAAGAGCTATTTGGTTGATAACCTTTTTCAGAAAAAAGCATGTAATTTTATGGTTTAATTATTTCCACCTCCAGGAAAACCTGAAGATGTAAACCCTTGGGCACATGCGTCTCTTTCATCATATGAATAATTTCATTCAAATAAAACTTAGTGATTCAATCTACTTGCTTAAGTATGTGGTTTAATGCATCTTTAAACTAAGACCACCTGAAGTCACATAATTTAAAATATTTTAGCATTATTATATTTCAACACTTTTTATCCTGTATTATCCCCATTGTAACACTGATATCTTTGTGTTCAATCTAGTTCTGACACTACCATTTATGAAATATTTTATTAGGTCCTCGAATTGCAGAGCCCACCTCGAGCCAGTAGTGTGGTGAAAGACTGTGTAAGAGCCTGCCTCGACTCAACCTATAAATACATTTTTGACAATTGCTATGATCTCTACTTCCAGTCAGTGGATCAGGTAAGACCAATATGAACTTGTTTTATGCTATTGCTCATTCAGCATTGTTAGTTTGCCATAAGTAAATACAAAGCATTCCAATGTTCCCTCATATCAAAACACTTGCGTTATTTTTGTTTTATTTATGGGAGAAAGAGCAATATATCATAAACCCACGTGAACACCAAAATGTTTAATAAGTTTCAAAATGAACATGTTGAATTATAGCTTAGTCATGAAATTGGTCGTGAATGTAAGATTGTTCAGTGGCTTTAGGGAAGATGACATTAGATTATTTACTGTTCATTTAAGATCTGTAATTGGAAAATATTTTTTTAAAATCTAATATTTTACTTCAGTAGCTTTGGAAAAGAAGCATTGTAATTTTCTGAAAATTATATACTGTCTTTTCTCCTTATATTTTAACACCCATAATATATACTTGGACCCAGGGTTAAGTAACTGCTTCAAGAAAGTAGAGGATAATTCTATAACATTTCTTAATGTTAGTCAATAAGGCTGAACTGACAATGCAAAATAATTATAGTCTTTGTTCTATCTCAAATGCCATGCCAAAGCCTTGTATCTGCAAAAGTATACAACTTTGTAAAAGGAACGTCACTGCTTTATCACATTATCTTGTGTTCCTTACTTTTGCCTTCTGGGTGGTACACTGGGAAAACGGTGTTTCGGTGACTATCCCAGCCTTGAAAAGGATGAATTAAGTTGTCTGGCAAGTGCACATTTGCTCTGTAGTGTAATAGATGAAGAACGGTCATACTACAGGATATAAGACATCAACTTTTATCTGAAAGTACATTTCACTTGGATCCAAAATATGAATTCCTATATTCCAGGAGAGACACTACATGCTGTATGTTCAACTTTTCTGAAATGAAAATTTATTTTCTAATGTTGGATTCCTGTTATGTGAGAAAACCTCTCTAGCCTCCCAAGCTTTTCTCACCAGCACCCACAGGCACTCCACATTGAGTGTATGTGTATGTCTTTATCTTCCAACAGATTGTAAAGTGAGTAGCACTATAAATCAGTAGGAGTAGCTTCAGCTATCACATCTATTTGCCTCACAAACTGTTCTGTTTTCTTGCTAATATTTACTCTGCAGCACTTTGATCTTGTCTGATAAATATAGTGTGAGCTGTTGCTAGACTGCGTGTCACACCAGTCTGCCAGGTTTAGTAATGCTAGATGTTAGCAAACAGTTAAAAGTGAGGTAGTCTTACCTCTGGAAAGCATTGCGATACCTGCAATAGCTGCTCTCAATATAAAATTTTTCACTACTTTATTCTGGGAATTTATAAAATAGTTTAGCCTGTTTATTTTAGTAGATGGTTTAAAAACACAAGCACATTGAAGCCTTTCTGTTTGGTAGAGAATGTAAAACAAGTTTGAAGTGATGCCTTTCTCCAAATTCATTTTTTTTAGCAGGATGGGCAATGTCATTATATTATTTTTCTCTTACACAACCCTAATTAATGATAGTGAAATGTGAAGTCCTGGGGAGGAACAAAAAAAATTAAAAATCCACAAACATTCACTCAGCTGGAAAACTGAATTAACTGTATTTCACTGAACTTATATGCCTTTTCTATTCTCTTTCAGCAAGGTTACCAGTAAGTGAGTCTATATGTAGAAACTTTAAGCAGACAAATGTCTACAGGGTTACAATCACTAGCAAGTACATGAAAATTTAGTGAGAATGTGCAAAAAGCATATTAAGATAAATAGACCACATTCAAAATAACCCGTCACTAACAGTATTCAAACAATAATCACATATAATCTGAATAACAGTAAAACTTTGTTTCACACCAGGTGGGAGACAATTCTGAGGCATATAATCTAACCTATCTAACTTTAATAGATGAGTAAAATAATTCAAATTACTACCTAAATTTTGCATCAGCTCTAGAGGACAAGGAAAGGAAACAAGGAGAGTACAAGGAAAGCATCTTCAGCATTATCCTCATCTAGTTTGCTACCATTATCTTTGCATGTGCATTTAATTTTAGGAACAGCTAAGTATACAGCTTGTTGGAACCTATAGCTCTGGAGGTTTTCCCCTGAGTCCAGGTGCACTGCAGAATGGCTTGTGGTATCACTGCTGTAATAATGAAGAAGTAGGTAATATTGTAATTAAAAATTACAATTAGTCTGATTACACCAGATCCTTTCCTTAAGCCTTCTTCATTAACCATTCTCTCTTCCCTCCTTACTTCCCCATCAGATGAGACCTCCTCCTCCTCTCGGAGGGAGGGACGGAGTCCGTCCTAGCATGGTGGTGCAACACGGGTGGTTCATGTTTTTGCTGCACAGCTGAGATTTGTACTGTGAGTAGTGAGAACTAAAATCGATGGACCCCAAAGCAACAAGACGTATGTAGGTCACCACCTGCTCTCACTCAGGGGAAAGCTGCTGTCCTGCCAAGGCCCACTGCAGGCTTAGGGTTTTACTGTGGTTCATTTCTTGCCTGAATCATGTTGTGGATGATGTGAAAGCGTGGAACCTATACAGTCTACTTAGAGTAGTATTTCCATCAGACCAGAAGCGGTAGGTTCCTGCATGTTGTATATACTATCTCCGCATGTAACTCACGTTAGCCACCTTCTGCATTTGCTTTTTTTTTTTCCATCAACCTAAAATTCTCAGATTCCTGCCACAGTGTTTCTATAAAATGTTTAATGCCTGAACATGTGAAATTGTCTGGTTTTGGGGTGAAATTAGAACAACAAATGACAAAATCAATGGTTCTCAAACTGAAACTCAATTTTGGGAAATTTATCACTATAAGAAGAGCATCAAGTAAATCAAACATATGATCAGCAATCCCCACCTTCTCTTTTTATTACTCTCTACCTTCATGTCAGAGAGACAAATCACTGTTATAAAGCAGATATCTTGCAGCAAAATATCACCCCTGGGGAACAGCAGTATTTCCTGGGGTGAAGCGTGGTAAATGCTAACCGTATGCAAAAACGTCATATAACAGTTTCATACCAGAATACAAAGAACAGCTTATGACAAAAACAAATGAGTACTACTGATAGTAAACCAGGACATCTTGACAGTCTCACTGACACGTATATTACCGTCCTCATTACTGGAGACAAAACACCCTTATGAGGAACTACCTAATGCCTTGTGCAGCAGATGTAGTATTTACTCTTTTTAATTAATGCTCATCTGACTGCAGAGCTAGCTGTTGAAAAAAAAAAAAAAAAGAATGCCCTGAAACACTAGTTTAGGAAGAACTTTGATAACTTTCTGACTCAATTTACGAATATGTCACTGCTGTTTTCTTAAGAAAGCAAAAAAATTCTGAAATCATGGCTGATGCTGACAATGACTGAAGTCACTTCAGTAACTCTTCTTGCAGTCTTCTCCACTGAATGAAACCAATAAAATGCAAATACAACTTCCTGCTCTCTGAAGAGCTCTTGATCAGTACAAATCTTTGAATGACTCATAGCACCAGTGAAATGGGAAAAAACACTCGGGATACTCTACGTTTGACACCTGCTCAGCAGAATAACACTGAAATTCTATCTGGTTTTGGAGACCTTTCTGTTGTCTGTTACTCGGCTCTGTGTGTTGTCACAGAGAAGTGTGGTGCAGAGGACAAGGAGCTAGGAACAAATTAACTAGTTCTGGAGCCAGGTGTTTCACAGCTGGAGCACCACAGTGCTCTTCCCTCACCATTTATCTCTGCTTAGAGGGATAGCACCTTAGGTGAGGTGGATAATGTACTAATAATATCCTAGCATTTGGGAATCCGAGTTTCTTTTTAACAAGATGCTGTAGACTCGCATGGGGATGGAGACTTTGAAAGATGGTGCAGTTTTGCTGTACTCATCTGTGGGTTCCTGCTCACTTTTCCATTTGGGATTTGGGAACCCAAGCCATTTACTTTCTTTTGAAGGTGTACCTCTCTGCAGTAGAAATGACAATCAGTACACCATTAATTTTGTACAGATATACATTAAGATTTGATTCATGAAGCATGCGAACACATTCTGTATCATAAAGGGGGAAATAAAGTTGTGCAGTAGTGAAAGCTCTTTACTCCAGGGAGTCCTATTTTTCAGGCATGCAAATTTTAGTGCCAAGAAATACTTGTCGTGAGGCACTTTATTATATTTACGTACTGCTTTAGATGCAGTGGAAAGGTTCTAACTTCTTCAAATCTGACATACAGAGGGTACTCCGAGGCCTCTCCTTATGTTGTTGCATTGTTTGATGGCAGCATGTTAGTCACAGTAATAGAAAAAACCTTTGATAAAGTACTTTAGAACAGCAGAAGGATGCATTTTTGCTGTGATATTTCAATACCCCATTCTGAGACTTCTCTGTCAGAGAAAGACCAGTTCTTGAAGATAAATTTGCTTGTTAGAAGCCTGTCTGAAAACTCTGGTTAGAAAGTCAAGAGAACAGCCTCATCATCCAGTGGCAGCAGAGCTCTGGTAAAGGAGAAAGTAGGAAAAGCCATAGAACTTCAACCTTGAAGTAAGGAAGGATAGTTCTGTGTTCATTGGAATAGATGAGCAAATAAACTGGGTTTTTTATCCAAAGCTGTATACTTTTCAACTGTTTCTGTTAACTCTAGGTGTGGATCAGTGAACTGTTGTCAGTTAATGTTAGATCTCCAAAAACCCAAATATTTTTCAGCGCTGAAGTCTGAATCCTGGTGAAGATTGGATAAGAGCAATGAGCAAAACAAACCTGAACTATACCCAGGCCTCAAATACAGATTATCTCATGAGAAACCATCTAATCAATATTGATTTTTGTGAGACTGAAGTTAATTCACAACCCAGCCCCTTTAGTTGTGAACATACTCAGTGTTTTTAAAAGTAGTTTAAATGGTAGCTCTTTGCAGTTTGCTTTGATTAGCCTCTCTAAATGCTGTAAAGCTGAGTTTTCAGTCTTGACATACATAAAAATATTTAAGTCTAAAATGTATAAGCTATATTTATTAAAAGATTTGCTGTATAATGCATATAAATGTCCATATATAATGCATACTGTATATTCTTAACCTCTTCCAAATTATATAATTGTAACTGAACAGTTTGAAAATACAGAAGTTTCACAAAAAGTAATATTTCATCTTATAATCTATGATTCTCTGATTTTTGTCATCTAAGACTGGCCTATAAAATTGCACTCTACAGCCTCACACTAACCAAGGCTACTGCCTTGGTTTCCATTCAGCTTCCATTCTACCATTATTTATATAGAAAATTAAATATTCTGAAACTTAGCTCTGGACTTGCCTCAGACATGGTCTTTATGCAGATTAGTTTCTGCAACCATAAGATTGAATTTATCAGTGTCGCACCTAAACAGTGGTTGTGTATTAATTGCTCGGAACATGACAAAATAAAAACAAAGCAAAATAAAACCAGACATTTGTCCTACAAACTGGTAAAATCAATGAGAGAAGTTGAAAGCCCTGTGTTCCTCAGACCAACCTTTACAGATTTGTCTCAGGGTGATACAAATGTAGATTTTAATCCTGCTTCACACTGTGCCTGAGATTGCTTTCTCCACCCTCAGCCAGATTGCCAGAGTGCAAAGTATGTTTGCTTGTCAACAGTTTAGCCTTTTTTTCTTTTTTTACACTCAGAAAAAAACCTCTACATTTGATCTTTGTATTGGTGAATATCAAAATTCCAGCAACTGGTTTTGGTCCCTCTGTGCCACATGATCCATTGTTTACATACTAACTCATGTGACTGTGAAATTGATAGTAAAAGGAAATAGAGAAAAACAAGACTTAGTGACAGGGAAGAATTCAGTTTGATACATATCAAATGAAATGTTGCTCTCATTTCCTCTTTCTGATTGTGATGTAGTCTGTGGCAATACACAGTTATACATCACCTGGTTTGGATCTTGCATTTAAAAAATTGTAGAATCCTAGTATTTCCTGTGTTTGAAGCAGGAAAGCAGTATAGAAATAAAAGTTCAATGCCTCTAAAAAGGTGTTTCACTTCACTAGGAAAATGTTAATACATAATTGTAAGATGCTGTCCTCCCACTCACTTTTTCTACACTGTCATGCCATTTACTATGTTTCCCATGATGCTAATAGAAACAAATTGTATTACTGAAAACTTTTGGATATGAAAATAGCTCTGTTTGAAGTTAATTTTTATTCCAAGATGGAACTTTTTTCTCTCAGTTTTTCAAGTTTGTGACTAATAATGTAATCAAACTTCCAACATTGTTTTACCTCATTATAATAGTTCTGTGAACGTATTTCTTGACACAAACCACATAGGACAATAATGGATCAATAGTAATATTTAATGTAGAAACAACTCAAATGATTCTGAGCATTTCTCGCCTATTATTAGACAAAGAATGGAAATTACAACTGGGTATGGGCAGAGTTGCAGTTTTGTTCACGAGCATGATACTATATCCATCAATATGTGAGACTATTTAAAAATGCCTTCTCTGGGGATTTTTTAAAAATATAATCTGGATTTTTAAAATACTTCTGTGCCAGAGAATTTTTGTAGAAAACACCTCCTTGTGCACCTATCACTTTGTAGATGAATTACTTTTTACTACCTATATAAAAGCAGAATTTCACATTCTGTGATTCACACTGACAGGCGTGACAAGCTGTCTCAGCTACATGCCCTTGCAGGTTTTTTCTGTGCAATGCAGTTCTTGGATAAGGTGCTGGACTTAATGTGAACTGGCTTTTTATTCTATAACTGCCTTTCAGGTGGTTTGACTTAAGCATGCACTAGCTTCAGAGAAAAAGGATGGTACATTAGAAACAAACCTTTGATATAGAAACAAATTTTAATATGCACCTGGGAAAGCCCTTTGGAGTGACATTAATGCTGCAGTATTAATTTCTCATTTGAAAAGCACTTTTGTTTGCATGTGTGCTTGTAACTTGCCGGCAATAGTCACACCATCCACTGTAACTGCTTCTGAGCGCCTTTATTTCAGTGGCTTTAGACAGTGAAGCCGTAGCATTTGTACATCAGCTGATTACGTAGCCATGTGATTAATGATACTTTTCTAAAATATTCCACTGTGACCACAAAAACAATTTCAATTAAGTGCTGTTGAAATTCCCTTTCTGCCATCCTAGATGCTGTTAATAGCTAAAAGTTAATTGAGGTTAAGATAACATTTAATTAATTCACCGTGACACTAATATAGTGTCATATCTATTCAAAGAGATACAGGGCCCATTGAAGTGGTTGTATTTGGACTGCAGTTGAGAAGTGCAGGGAATAATGTTTAAATCTGCAGGATAATAGGCATGTTTTTCTGACTCTACTAGTTGAGTGAAAAGACCCCTTCTTACCGCTGATAGCTGAGTAGAAGAGACCTAGCATGTGCAGACATACCTCTGTGTGCCAGAAATATATGTGTACCTGTGTGTGTGTCCACACAGAGATAAAAATGTTCCTTTTCATACTTGGTTCTCTGGGATGAAGTTATTTATTGGACATTGATAAAGAATCTGGTCCTTCTGTCAAGCGAAGAACTGAAAAATACTTTTGTCTAGGAAACTGTAGTCTAAGAATTCATAAATCAAAGCTGTAGAGACAAAATCTAGCTGCAAGTTCAAATTTTAGTGACATTAAGAAGTATAAATTTCTCAATAAAGATTTGGAGGGAGTGAATATTAATACATGTGTTTAACTATTTTAAGAGGTGCAAAAGGCAGGCTTTTAATCAAGAAGAATAAAAACCACTGCTTTACCTACCAGTTTTAATTAATGACTGGAAAGTCATGTTGGTAATCCATCTGATATATCAGTGTGCCATGTCCTTCCTTGTGATTGCTACAAAAATGTAATGGGACATCTTGGGTTCTCTGCTTCGGCTGTGAAACTGATTGCAATCCTCCTCATTTATGAGGAGTGTACAGAAATCCCATCTCCCTGGTTAAAAAAGGAATCAAATAACAGATAGATTTTACTCACAGTTTTAACCTCCTTGGCAAGGCAATACCTTCTCAAGCCTCTCTTCTGGATATTCCTATGTACCTTTTCCTAGTATTTGTATGTGTCCAGGGATTTTTTTTTCCCCTTTCTACTTTATGGTGTTCTCCTCTGCCTCTTTTAAGTGCACAGTTTGTGGGTCTGGTAGTCAGTCTATGAATGGAAATGGAAAACCTCTGTGCAGAATGCCTTCTTATTTCTTAACAGAAAACAGAGGGAAATTTAAGCACAGCACAGCAGCTGTTAGGCCACATAACTTCAGTGTATAATCCAAAACAAAATGTTCCTTGTCATTGATTTGTTCAGTATTTATTGTGTGGGGTATGAAAGTTCTGCCTCATCAGACAAGTTTACCTGCACTGAGTTTCAGCACACCAAAGAATTTAAGAATCCACTTAATTAAACTGTGGACATGCACTAAAAATCTGGTCTCTATTGATCATCTTTGCTGCCTTGGCTATCTTTGCGCTGCGTATGTGTTTTGATCTATGTCCACAGCAGGTACAGTCCATCATACAATCCACTCTAAGCTGGATAGACAGTCTTTGTCCAACATTTCTGAAGGTTCTTAACACATGACTCTTTCCAGCCCAGTAATAAACTTTAGGTGGAAATCCAATAATGTTTTCTCTAAAATAAAATATATTCAATCTTGTTTTAACAGGGTAAGAAACAAGAAGTTCCTAAAGAAGAACAGGGACCAACAACAAAGAATTTGGATTTCTGGGCACAGCTTATTACTCTGATGGTCACCATCATAGACGAAGATAAAACAGCATACACACCTGTTTTGAACCAGTAAGTAATTACTTTCTTTATAAAAATTAGGAATCATGTGTTTATTAAAATAAGGACAGGAAGTATGCCTGCATCAGTAGCTGTGTTTTAAATATAATCTAGTGAGAATTTTTTTTTTTTAATACAGAATATTACACTGACATAGTTTGATAAAGTCTTACTGCTCTGATCATGGAAAGAAAACCTTTTGTTTTAAACACATAGTATATGAATAATCCCCAAAAGTTAAGTAGCAAAATATTATGGAAGAAAACTAAATAGATGGACAGAAGGGAGCATTTGGTGAAATAGTATGATGGTATTAATGATGTTATCTTGGCACACAAGGTGTTCAGATCATGCTGAGACATTGTTAGGCATTGTAATGCTGTTTTAGGGATGTATTTGTAAAAGAATTATGTACTTCACAAGATTACCCTATCCAAATTCATGATTGGCTGGAGAGAAAGCCTGGCCAGGCAGACTTGAAAATTTATAAAATGGAGAGCAATATTCTGGACTTACCAGAGATGGAAGTTGACTTCTCAGAAACGAAGATGTGACAGGTGAGGGAGGTACAATCAATAACCAAGACAAGTTGAATAACTTATGGTTGATACACTAGTGGAGAAGAGAGAGCAAATCAATAAACACAGAAAGAGGAGATAGAGTGCTGGGTTTTCAAAATGAAACATACAGGAGTGCAAAGGAACATGTTTCACATATTAAGGCTGGAGAAACAGATGTCTCACTAATTGAAATGTGACACGATGAGGGCCCAGGGAAAAGTTTTAGTTCTGTTAGCTCTTTGGAACTATTAGCAGAAAGATTCTAGAAAATCTGGGCACAGTCTAGCTGTGATGCAAAAGTGAAAATTGAAACTTACATGTGTATTATGGCTAAACAATTAATAGACTTGTCTGCAGTGGCATTTAATTCTGAAGAGTAGATACTGAAAGGCACTGTGCACAGAGATATGCTTGCTGTTGATAAAAGGTACCGTACTTCTTATGGACCACAGTATAGTTACCGAAGAAACCTCCTGGTGCTAAACAGAAGCTGAACAGGACGTCTCTTTGTTCAATCATTTTCTGCACTGACCTTATTAAGGAAGAAGTTCTACAGAGGAAATAAAACCCTTGCCTTGTTCACACCATTTATAAAACTTAGTATGAATTTTTTGCTTTGGTTATATTCTTATGCAAATGTGAGTAAGAAAGGGAAGGGATAAAGAACAGAGTTTCTCTGAGGAGATTAGAAGGTTCCCTAAAGTACAACTGCGTGAGTGTGTAAGATGTGAGTAGAGAATTACAAGTGGATGTAATTGAAATTCATTAAGGGAGAGAGTTTGTGTGTGTGACTTCTCTCCCATTTTCAAAGATGAACATAGAGAATAAAGGGTCTTTGAGAAATAGGAGACATCAGGAGCAACAGATGGAGAGGTTTTGGGTAGAAAAACTTGAAAAAACATTCAGAGTTGCTTTGGATACATTTTTTTTAAAAGAGAAGCTTCTCCTAACATGAAAGCAGCATGTAAAAACTGTTGAGGAAAATGACAGACAACCTCTCCCCATTTCTTACCCAAGAAAAGAAAACAAATGAAAGGAAAATATAAGTTGAATGCACAAGAACATTGCAAAACTATCATTCCTTATCAGAAATACATGGCCATGCAGTGCCTCAGTGGAATATTCAGGCCTGCGTCCATTTGAATCCTGCTGAGAGATGAGGTTACTGAAGGTGCCCAGGAGATTTCCAAGCATTCTGACAGGAATTTTCACAATGATATAATATTGCTCAGAATTATTTTGCTCAACCAGTTTTGGAAACCCTATTTTTATATCTATCTTGGAGGCAAAAAAAGATGCTGTGATAGAGCAGTTTGAACTGTATCAGATTATGAATCCAGATGAAACATGACATGATTGCCTCAGCAAGCAAGCAGGACCATACCAGACCATTCAGTGGGAGTTGTGTGGGCAACCTGCAGCTATTATGAGATAAGGAACTTGACAAGTTTGAGGGAAAAACATGAAGTCTGGTATTTAAATTGTAAAATTCTCATACTACTAGTTAAAACGATGTAAAATGTGATGGGAACCTGATTCACAAGCAAATCTAGGACTTCCTGGAGCTGGTCTAATATGCTTTGTACAAACTGCATGGCAGCAGAAATTGCTTTCAAAATTTTTGTTCAATTGAAAGGAGCAACAGATATGCTTGTGCATTTGGAAATAGAGATCTAAACTTTGTGCCTCTGCATACCTTTAGTAAAAAGCTTTCCCTTTAATTGCATAGAACATACAGGCAGAATAGTCATGTGTGGTGGTGTAATACAAATTTAAGAAACAAGACAGCTTTGGTGGGACTTTTAAATTTGTTATTTACTGATTCTTACATCTTTGCAATGTACAGATCTGTTTTCTTTCCTCTGTGAACGCTCTATCTTTCGTACTCTGATTTAGTACTTCTTTAGAATTAATGTTGTCTGAGTTTACCAGGGTTGGATACCCACAAAATCACTGAAAAACCAAAGAGTGATACTATTAATTATTTGGGTAAAGAAAGCATAAATGGTGTTTCAGAAAAGCTGATCAAAGATATGTAGAGAAACTACCCGAATGTGAAATGGTATTGCAAAATCTGTTAAGAAATTGTATTTGCAGTTAGATGTAAGAACTTGGAGCAGTGCCAGCACTATGTCCTTGGAGAAGACATAGTGAATAACCTACTCAAAAATAATGTTAGGGTAAAAACCAGACCCTACAAGAGATGGGAAAAAAAGTCATATGATTAGCAAAGTTTGAAAATCAGACAGCATTAGCTTAAGATTTAAAACCTCAAGATACATTAAACATTGGGGGAAAAAAAATTAATACAAAGGGACTGTATTCTCTTTTAAGAAAAAGCATTTTTAATTGTTATAATAGGAATTTTTTAGTTTAGGATTAAAGTAGAGACAAGCAGTACAATCTAGGATATATTCTTTGGGGTTTATTTATGTTTTGCTTCATACATTAATTCTTTTCATTTTCTTTCAAGCTGTGTTCAATTCTATTCCAGTGATCTGTGGTTTTGTATATATGTTACATATGTAACTATGTTAGGACTAGCCAGTGTAAAAAAGTTTTCATTAAAAATTTTGCTTAATTAAAATCAATAGAGGAAAGACGTTCATAAGTGGCTACCTTTTATATGGAGATTAGTATTTTTGGAAATACGTGGAAATTATTGTGTGTGGGATATTCTGTATATGAAGTTCCACCACATAGTGTTGTATGGTTGACATATGAGTTGAGGGTTAGAGGCTGTCATGCAAGGGAGGGAGGTGATTTTAACAACAATGTTTTGGATAAACTGAGATGTTATCGTATTGCTCTAAGAATGACAGAGAAATTGGGAAAATTATGGCCTGAGACAGAAATAATTATAGCAAGAGGAAACAAAATTACTAATAGGGCACTCTCCTGGTTGTCCTCTTCTTCACTGAGCAATGTGAAAATGTGTAGCTTTTACAAAGGTCAGAAAACATAATATGTTGAGGGTTTCAATGGAAAGTTCCCTAATATTTTGCAGCTTAGGGACCAAATTCTGAAATAGTTTGCAAAAGAAAAGTATTTTTTACTAAAAAATAAGGTAATAAAATACAAATAATACAAAATACTTATGTAGATGCTTTAGAATTTGACCTTTGATTATCCCTTCCATTAAGTCAGGGGCAGCTGTCACCATTTATCTTCAGCGTGTAGGAAATTGCATATGCTTCTGTGGTGTGCTGAGCTTTGTGAGGTTTTCACACCCTACAACAATAACTGATAGCTGCGTAATACCCATAGCTATGATAGCTGTGTAATACTCATCATCCTCTGACTGTTGTAAGCATGGGAATGAGCATGAGTTTTGGAAAGGAAGTTCAGAGACAACATGGAATTAAGTATACACGTAGCTCATAAACACTAAAGTATACAAATTATGGAAGCACATAATTTACTAAATGTTTAGACATGGGAAACAAAGATTGACTCCACAACCACATAAAATGCAAACCCTTGGACATAAATTTTCCATTAAGTATAGTTCTTAGATCACAAGCTTAACACTGCACAGAAAGACAGCACGTGTAGACTGTTAAAATTATGCTTCATTACCATGATGATGTGGGATTAACCAAATTATAGAATAATGATCTTAATAATGACTATTAGGCAGACACTTGTAATGCAGGATGCTGGAAGGAGGCCATCTCCTTTCTGTGCTGCCTTACAGCTCCCAGAGTTTCAGCACCTCTGCTTTTGAGAGCAGATCATGGCTACCAGCATCCTTCTAGAACAGATGATCTCAAGGAAAAGGCCTTTGTGTAAACTAGTCCTTTTATGAATGTCGTTACCTGTCCTCCCTCCACCCTGATGAAGAAATTCTTGGATGCATACTGCTTTTCCGACAAATGTGTCTCATCTATTCCTTCAAATATATCTCCTTCCTCTGAGTAGGGTAAAAGATTTTGTAAAATACAATGAAGTCCTTAATGGCTTTCCTCGGTTTCTTTCAAAGAGTTTGATTTGAGAGAGGACTTGGGATTTACCTCAGTAATTGCATTTCTGGTTCACAGTTAACATAGAACTTAGGGAAATGAAAAATAACTTTGCTTTTTTTGCCCAGACCCTTATCTGCAATCCAGGAACATGAAATGCTGTTTTCATTAGGGTGAGAAATATGTGATAGGAGTCAGTGCTTGTTTACATAAAGATGTACCTAGATCCTTGGTTCCTTTACTACAGCAGAAATATTAGCTATGTCCTTGCTCAGAATGACGAGCTGAGCCATGGCACTCAGCTACAATCTCATTGTCTCCATTCCTGTCACTGTCCATTTTTTAAATTCTTTAGGATTTTTCTGCCTGCAACTCACACAACTGAGATGATATCTCAGTCTTTGATTTGCAAAAATAAACCCTAGACTAGCCAACGTAGTTATGACTAACCATTTGACTAGTTTCTTACACAGTCTGGCTCTTTTTTCAGTACAAGGAGATGATCTCTTGAGCTTGCCGGAGTGCTTGGCATACGCTTTGACTTTATTTGGATTCGGTTTCCAATCCAAGTCCCAGCCTTAGCCCCCATTATCATCTTATGCACAGCAGTAAGTCATGCTAAGAAAACCTTGAGCTGTCTGTAACTTCTTTGGAACTGAACAATAATTTCAGCCCTTTAGTGAGCGATGGTTTCTCACTGACTTACTCATCTGTAGATGAAGATTTTCTTACATCAAACCTTAGTAAGAAAGACAATATCAGCCCTGCATGTGTCTCTAATTGTTGTGTATTTTATCACAACAATACACAAAACTTCTACACCAATCTAACTGCCTGGGTTTGTGAAGAATTTGACTGTGAATATTTTAATATGGTGAATTTGAGACTCTTCTTGGGGACTTGTTTCTACCTCATATTTTAGTGTTTTAAGTAATTTTTGCTTTTGGTTGTGTTTGTATTTTTATATATGTCAGAATTTGCCTGCAGTTGTGGCAGATAAGTCAGTGGTGGCTGCTGTGAACTGTAACATATGATTTCCTTGAGTAGTGTCTGAGTATTCTATATGAAGGCCCCTTTTAGGGAGAACAAATAGAATAGCATCATTTCTTCTGTGTTTATTCTTATTCAGAAAGGTAAATTACAGTTGAAAAAACCATTATTGATGCTTCTGACATTTGAAACCACACTCAATATGTGCCCAAACCCTCTACAGCACAAATTGAAAGTTGTATTTATCCTTGTCAAGCACTGCTTTTAGCATTGTAACACGATGTCCGGAAGGGATGTAGCATCACACGGAGTTTATAAGACGCTGTCTTCCTTTTTGCAATACTATTTTAGGGTCCTCCAAGCAGTTTTAATGGTGGCCACAAATGTCAAGCTTAGACTCTTATATTCCTTCTATGCCTATAGATGTTTAGATATTAGAACTGGAAATTGACAGGGTGCTGAAAATATTAAATTTACATAATATAATTAGAAGCAAAACCATCTTAGAAATATAAGTAATGAAATTAAAGTAAACATGACTACTCATGCATAATGCTACATGTGAGGAAATATGTGGCAGGATGTTGCAGACTTTCTTTCCCACAGGAAAAAAGACTCACGCTCGTATACAGTACACATACACATCAAGTCTTCATTAGTATCCTGCAGTCCCAGATTGTGCACGTGCCCTTATGTTCTTGATTGAAGGCACAAATGGTATTATAACAATGGGGTTGATTGTTTAAAATACATAGTAACAGCTAGGGAGATTAAAACCAGATATGTGAGTATAAGTTGTGAAGTAGGCATGACACAATTTTTAGCCCTTCCCTTAGATAAGGTACAAACCTCCTGACAAGTGCTGGAGGCTAGAATCGTATTGTGAAAATTGCCAGCACTGTCCAGTAACTCCTGGCAGATGGTAAGCCACTAGAAGCGTTCTTGCTTCCTTCTTAGAAGAATAAAGACTAGAAAAAAGTCCTGCAGGCGTTAACCAGTTTGCAACTATGACAGATTGCTTCGTAATCAGATCATAACAACCAAATCAACAAAAATGAACATAATATTCCTCGAAATAATAGACATTTCCCACATAGTTCACACAAACAGACCTGCTGGTGGTGTTAACTGGAACATTGCTTTCAAGCTTGTCATCTTACAGTTGGTTTCTCTGCTCACTTTGGTAGTTGCACCGGCATTTGTGCTCACCACAGAGGTGCTGACGCATGTTTGACGTTAGATTTCAAGCACAGCGTAAGTCAGCCTGCCCTCATCACGGGCGTGCTGGAATCAGCAACGCTCCTCCTCTAAATGAGATCCGCGAAGTCGTCATCTGTGTGACACAGTGCAGAAGATGCAGATCGTGGTGCCTAGTGAGATTTACTATCACTGGCTGGCACCTTAAGTCCTACAGTGACGTAGCTGAGCAGATACCTTGCATTGTCAGCAGCATGGAGGTCAGCGGGCTTCTGTTCCATGCTCATCATCACCAGGTCTGGGACATAGCATGGAAAATAACTTAGTCATCTGCTTGAAAGGTGCCACCTCTGCTGCAATTAGTGCGGCTGAACCAGCTTCAATGGTAGGTACTGTGGGGTGTCGCTGAACAAAGATCCTCACTCCTGGCAAAAGCCACACCGCTCTGTGTGTTTCCTCATGCACATGGTCCGTGATGACTGCAGGTATCTGGTGTGTGCGTATGGCTCCCGCTGTGCTGCTGTAGGATAAACAACTGTTTTACCGCTCGGACGGTCTGTGCAGTTCTTCCTGCTCTTTAGCTGCGTGACTTGCTCTGGTCTTTTTTTTTTTTTTAAAAAAAAAAAGAACTGTCAAATAGCTCTCCTTTTACATCTGATGTGAAACATAGTGTCTGTCACCAGAATGTCAGATTTTGCTAGTAGCTGACAGTGAAGGTCCTGACTGAAAAATTAGAGCTTTTCTTTTACATGGAGTAAGAAGCAGCTGGGATCTATGAAAAAGTTGTGGAAAAATACTTGACAACAGCAAAAAAATATCTAAAAAGGAGTATTTTTCAAAATTGACGTGAAGCACAAGACCCAAATTAAATTTTTGAATCAAAAGTATGCATTTTCGTACCTTTTATATTCTTTGCTGTTTTATCTGTACTTCAAGGTAAAAGTCTGCAAACAGTGAATTGGATTCAAGTAGTATAAACCAACCTAGCTTCTCAGACAACTCCAGTGTTTTACAGTGTAATGAGGGAGTTGAAGAAAAGATGTGGCTGCTAAACCTCTGATGCAGGTTTTTCATAAGCCATCTGATTTATCTGAAGTCGAGGAGTTGTCTGCACGATAGATGTTGCTTGGTTTAAGGTGTCATGTGAGGCAATCTGTGCAACATTCAACTAGTTACTTAGGCCCCTGACATTAGACTAAGGGAAGTTTTTATCTGAAGATTGGATGGTTCATGTAATTGCACAGAACACAAAATACAGTAAGTGCATACTCGGGGAACTGTTTTGTGGAAATATTTGCCTTTCTTCGGTGCAGCTGTAAGCACAATGTCTAGCAGCAGGTGAACCGATGTAATGTGATTGATTGCAGGTTCCCTCAAGAGCTGAACATGGGAAAAATCAGTGCCGAAATCATGTGGACTCTGTTTGCCCAGGACATGAAATACGCTCTGGAAGGTAATTAGAACAAACTATTAATTACACTAGAGAGTTCACAAGACTGATTTCCACTGCAAATGACACCTGGCACCAGATTTCTGTGGGTGGTAAGAGTTTTTTCTGGCATACTTGCTTAAAATGTTCCATAGGTTAGTGAAAAAGAAGTGTCATGGAGGAAGAAAATCACTGCATTGCGACTGTACGAAGTTATCTGTGGAAGGAGGAGACAAAAGAACTGTAACTTGAAATGCATAGCTTTTTATTACCTAAATCTGACAAAATCATCGGTGTCCAAAGCAAGATATGCTTGCTAGAGAGCATTTTAGGCACTTCATATTTTCTTACTAGCTGAAAGTTGCCAATTTGCCCATAAGAAACATTTACAGAATGAAGTGATGGAGAAAACACACACAGATAATTAAAACTTCTTGTGTTCAAAAGGCAGATTGTATCCATTTGATTCCAACAGGATCAAATGTTTGATTTTATTCTTTCCTTCTATGTTTCCTTTTATTCTTTAAGATAGTGCTGTAGTAAGTAGAATATACTTTAAATCAAACACTACCAAGAGCTGATAAGCATGAAGACCAAAAGATAGCCACTGTTTTGGGTTAGAACATATTCCTGTTTACACCAGTGAGAACAACCTTATATCCGGAGAGGCTGTAAATCAGGAACAGGGATCAGATGATGACAGCAACCCTGTGCTGGGATTGCACTTACAGAGAGCTGGCACAGATTAATAAGAATTTTTATGTTATGCTTTCAGAACTTGAGTGTATAGTTAGAGTCTGCACACAGACATCCCTGAGCACCCCTGTGCTTGTTGTAGTGTTTTAACCACTGAACTATAAATATTCTGTACTGCAAGAAGATAATTCACTCTGTTTGCTAAGTAGAGCATACTGATCACTCAAAAGGCAGCTTCAGATCAATCTGTGGTTTGTTTCTTGGCTGTAAAGAATAGAGCAGGAAGCTCTTGAAGAGTCAGTTATCCATTATATGCAATGTGAACGTAGGGCTGGATCAGGACTTCAAAACAAGTATTAATGTTAATATCCTAATTCTGCCAAGAGATATAGAGGACTCCTTAGGAGGCACTTGACTTTCAATTCCTGCTCCAAATCAGTCTGAGTATGGTCTCACCTCTGTGTTGCTGTGGATACTGTCTTTCTGAGGAGAGTCAATGCCATTTTTGTCATTAGGAATTTTAAGTCACTCCCACAATCATAGTGAAACAGTTCCTGTGTATAAATAATAATTAAAGGTAATTGAAATTAATTATAAATTGTTATAAATATACATAATTTCACCTTCTATGTTTTCATTCTGAAACAGGAACCTCAGTAAATCTAGTCACAAATACAGGTCAGCATGCTGTTTCTCTCTCCAGCTTTGCTGGTTTTTAAATCATTAATCCTTTCCATGGATATTCTACAAACTGAGTTTGATTCTCGCTCGTTAATGGCAATAAAATTTTTTGATTCGAATTCTACAAGATTAGGAGCAAGCCCTTAAATATGGTCACACTCAATCCTCATGGTCTTAATGGAGTTCATTAAAATGCACCGCATTCTGCTATGCCAGTCTCGCCTTCCAGGTTATTAACACAGGCTGCCATCTGTTCATACGCAATGTCCAGGGCTGTGACTGCATTCTTTGCCTGATTCAATTTTGGATTAATCTCCTGAAGCAGCATCTTGTGTGTTATAAACTTGATTCCTTTCTGCATCCGAACAAGAAGCTATGAAATAGTCCAACATCGTTTGCAAAAGGATTGCCGATATGATAATAAAAGGTTAAATTAGCTCATCCAAGTTCCCTTTCCCACCTTATAGATTCCTGAATATATCTAGCCACTCCCATCAGCTTAAATTCAGGTAAGGGGTATGTCATAACTCTGTTCTCTAACAGAAGACCAATGCTGGCACATCCAGTTTACATTCCTTTTTTCCCCAAGAGCAGTTCGGCATGGCTGTTCAGGCTATGTCCTGTGACTGCACCAGAGCGCCTCTGGTATCTGCTCCGGGGATGTATGGATCTGGAGCTGCTGCTGGGAGACTTGCTGCTCTGCAGCAGTGCTGCCCACCTCCTTGGCAGTGGGAGCCAACAGGCCCCACGAGCCGGAGACTGGCAGTCGTTCCACCCTCTGCCTTGTCTTCTCCCTTGATCCTTGGGCAGCAGAGTCCACCCGGGATACTGCTGTTGTGCCATGCAGAAGGTAGAGGGAAGAGCAGTTGCATGTCCCTGCGAATGCCAAGACAGCGTATCTGCATGTGACAGGGCAGTGGGGGGAAACAGCTGGCTCTTTGAGGGAGGGAGAAAAGGGCATCCCAAAGCTGCTGAGGTCAGGGCTATGCCATGCCTTGAAAACAAAGCTGTCTGGTATTGAGTTCATCGTCTAATTCTAGATTTTCTTCACTTTTAAATTAATAACAATGTTCAGTCTTGCACAGTACCAGAAGTTTTATGCAACTTGAACAAATCAAGTCCATACCAGCTCTGTATTTTTTTTTTTTCTCTGTGCTAAGGAGCTTGGGATTATTTTCATGTAGAAGTTTGGCATGGCAAAGGTATCGCATGTTTCTCTTCGAGAACTGACTTCATTAGATTTCTGCCCTTTTTTTCTGGTTGTCTATTCATGAAGCAACAGTGATTTGTGTGACAGATGATACGTTGTTGTTTGGCACATATGAGATATAGGATGTTAATATTTTTGTACTGTCTGGTCCTCAAATTAATCTGTATTTGTGGTGCAAACAAATGAGAACACAGAATTTCAGCAGCAGTGAAGGTGATTTATTACTGACTTCATGTGGTAAGAAATCTTTTCCTCTCCAAATATCAAGATGTGAAGGTTAACAGATGATGAGAGTAACGAGCTGATATTAGACATGCAATTACAAAAGTATCTTTTTTATTTAGTGTCCTCAGAAATGTCTTTTTCAGATCTTTTGTTTCTCAAACTTTTAAATAGGTCAAATCAGATGTCCAAAGCTATCCAGTCTGTTAGAAAGAGAACATTCTAATTGCTGTTATTATGATAATCTAATTCTAGTAGTGGCCAGAAGTCAAGATCAGGATCAGGCCAGAAACAAATTAGCTGCTGTGTAAATAAAGCAATAGATGGTCTCAGTCCTGCAGAGCTGAGATCCTGGAGTGCCAGGCCTTATAAAAATAGGAAGGAAGTCACTACACCATTTTATACATTTGCTATAGGTTTGCTTTTTGAGTTCCCGATTGTCCTCAGTGCATAAGCAGATATCGTCTTCCTGTTTCTCTGACAGATTTCTCTTTTGTGACAGAAACTGATGTAATGATTGGAAAGAGAAGAGGCAGGTCCCTGAGTTTGCTGAGCACAGAGACAGCACAGAAAAAAACCCAAAAAGCTAATGCTGCTCAGAGAAAGGTCACTCCATCTGGTGGCAGATTACAAGCCTACTTTCACCCCAACTTTACAATTTACAAAATTCCCCTCAAGACAGAATATAGCCTTGGCTTGAAGAAACTACAGAGGGGATCTGGGGAGGTGGGGCTGAGTTTATGGAGGGGGTAACAGGGCAGAATCCAACAGAATGCAGGATTTCATCAGGGTATCAAAATATGAAACCTTTCTATTTCAACGAACCTCATGCTGCATTCACACATTACAACAGATGTATTCCATCCTCGTTTCTCCAGAGACCTGAGGAGTAAAGCTGAGTGTAGTCTTATGGGGGATTCAGAGAGACTAAAGGCAAAGACAAGGAGATTACAGTTAGGGTTAACAATAAACTTTCCTTTGGCAGATAATCAGTAAGACTGAATGCAGCATCACTGGAGGGAGCGGGGAGTTAGAAATACTCCGTGGTCAGCATAACAGAACGCGATGTTGACAGCTGCAGCAACATACCATATGTACTGGAGAGCTGAGCTTTCCGGGTCTGAGAATCCGGTTGCGTACCTACCACGTGCAACACACAGATCCCCAAGCCTGCCTAAAAAACACTGAAGTCATACCTAATGGCACTATTTTGTTGAAGTTAATTAGACCAGCTAATTAAGACAGATAAAGTGGACAGAACTGTTCCCAGGAGCTAAACTAACATTTCTTCATGTCGTTGAATTCTGATGTATCAACGTGCCACCTTACTTGGAACTACCTCAACGATCTCTAGTATGGCATGACCTGGTACTTGGGGGCATGTCCACTATGTCATCCGGCCATTCCCTAACCCATTTTCTTTGATTTTACATACCAAGTATGTAGAGTACTTAGAGTAGTACTCTAAGTACTACTGAGCATTTATACAGCAGTACAAGCCCACGGTAGTAAGTTAAAGCTTCTTCATTTCTGATTTTACGTGTATTCATGGTGCAAGATATTACTGGGAAAAAAATGTAGTGCAGCAATGAATGCCTGGCTCCATTATTGGGTCTTAAAGTTGTCACTCAATAATAGCAGTGTATATTGCCCCATATATTTAATAAGGAAAGGTCTGGTCTTATTTAATCTTCTTTTAACTACTGAATATTAATCTTGTTCTGAAACATTGTTATTAGCTCTTTCCCAGGCAGTCACTGATTGTAAAACATTTGTGTATGAACTTTTCCAATGTTGTCTAATTGTGAGAATTTTTCTCGTCAACTCATACCAGTAATGTCATGCTAGATAGGTTATTAGACTGTAAACGATGCTTTAAATGAACCCTACATTGATTAATATTTATGGATTGCTTATAGCTCACATGGCCCTGTCCTTTCCACAAGCCAGTGAGTTGAGCATGCAAGTAGGGGAGAAGAGCTCTGTTCAGCTGTGTGTCACCTACCGAAGCAGGAAGAGAGCTCGGCCTTATGTCGTGGTGCAGTCAAGACTTTCCCTGTAGATTCTTAGGTATCTCAGCCCAGAAGAATAATTCACCTCTTCTTTCTCCTTGTCCTTGATTACTGTTCTTCACCAGTAAGGTGATACTTCACTGCAACTCTCATTTTTACAAAAACTAGAGCCTTCTGTCTGAAATAAATATATGGCTGGGGGGAAAAGAATACATTAAACAAAACTGTGATTTTGTCTCTGCAGAAAGTCACTTAAAGCCCTGAATTGTTTAGTGCAGTTCTGCATCTGCTGGTTAGAGAAAAGGTTCATCCTTCTCATCCTATAGGACATTCCTCTAGTGCAGTCACGTAGTCCTGCACCTAGGGCTAGGACCTCCCTGTCCTATTTCCTGAGAGGTTTATTCCCCTAATCTCTGTCAGAGTGGAGCTGCATAATTCTCAGACAGTAGGAAAGGAGCCTCGCTGCTGCATCTCTTCATGCATTCTGTCAACTAATCACCCTGTGACTCCACTTATATTTTGGACTTCTTTCCTTTTAGAAACAGTAACCAATGACAGCTTGCTTAAAACCTTTTGTTTTAATCAATGTTTTGCTCTAAACATTTGAGAAAAGGAAATGTAAAATGACAAGCGACCTGTATACCATTTTTAATATTAGATATTCTGAAACTTCACACTAAGACATTTCTTAAAAGCTTTTCTCATACTACAACCTACTGTTCGTCTCCCATCCTCTCTTTATTAAGTTGAAGACTCACTCTTTTACTTTCAGGACTTTCTCACATACGGAGATTCTCTAGTGTCTTTTTTCTCCTATGGCTACGCAGGTAAATTTCCCTTTACGAGCAAGTGCATTAGTTCTAAACTAAACATTGGATACTGGTTCCAGCACCTCTAGGAGAATAGGATAAATCCATTAAAACTGCCTGTTTTCACCTTATCTTTTAATAAGACTTAAGTGCAATTTGCTGGGTAACAATTAGAGAACACCTCTGCGTTTTGCCTTTGCTCCTGCTTCCCCGGCAGCTCCAGACACAACACAGGTAATTATTAAAGCGTAGCCTCACATTTATCTTGCTGTCTGATTCTTCCTGTTCTGTACTTCATTCCGCTAATTGCTTTTAAAATGCTACCATTACTGTTTTGGTAATGTTTTGTGCTCGCTTAGCACTATTGTGATGAACCAAAGAGCAGAGAATCGAGTCTAAATGTCTCCTTCATGGAAAGATACCTTTTCTTTTTCTTTTTTTAAATGAAGCAATAAGTAAGTAAAAGTAACTGGTCATAAAAATTACATTGAAGTTGCAAAGCCCCCCAGTATTCAGCACTTAAGACCCAACACAATTAAGACTGCCTTTATTACCTTTTATCTTTTTCCTCTCAGATTCACGTATTACAGCATTTAAGTTATAACATTTCCCAAGAAGCAGTGGTTTCCAAGCAGCATGTATATTCTCCTTTTATTTCTCAGATTTTATACATATTAGAGGTTTATGAAAGCCTAATCAATGTAAACCGGATTCCTATACCAGCATTACTTTTCCTCTTTTATTACTTTCTGATTATGTGATTACTTTGGATGAATGTCGAAACTTCCACCATGTGCTTCAGACCAGGGCTTTCATCATCATCGTAGACCTCCTGCCAGGCGGGATGGGCCATTTCTTCTGCTCCATTCATAGCTTGCATTTCCCTAGGCTCCCCATGGTCAGTTCATGCAGAAAGCAAGAATTCTAACAGTCAAAAAGCACAGCTCAGATTATTTCAGTCCTTGGAAGCAAGTGCCTATTTCCTTCTGTGATCAATAGTAGCTGTGTATATCCAAAGATGGAATTTTGTCTCTGAGTGTTTGTTCTTCGAATATTATTGATCTGTTTAGCTTTCAAAGTACATAAATTTCACTCTGATGTGATACTGAAAGGCAATAGCTATACTGAGGTTGATCTTATTAAAATATTTGCATTTTTCTTTGTCTTAGTTTCAAGCAGGACAGAACAAGTTTATGTTTAATCAAGCTGCATATCTTGAGTTGTCCGGTTGGTGATATAGCCATCCACTTTTCTGGAATTCTTTGGCTGTAAAGGAATTAATTGATGAGATTAATAGGCTAAATTTTCACTAAGGAGTAAAAAAGGCAACTCGGCAATGTTAAGAAGACATCAAAGTTAATTTGCTTCAAATAATTTTAAATGTTTAGGAAATATCACATAGTAGGGGAAAAATGGCATATGCAATGTTTTGCCGTAGAAAATAGGGTTGTTTGCAGCAGATTCACACATCCCTCATGACATTGTACACGTTGCATGTCTTAGGTACTATGTAACATTGGTATCTGATGCTGTTGAGGTTCCCATAATGTTGTGGTTTAGCAGTTTACCTCTCACAGAAAGCAATCTACAGCTCTGC